CCAAAGATGTCAAAGATCTGTATGCTGAAAACTATAGAAAGCTTATGAAGGAAATTGAAGAAGATATAAAGAAATGGAAAAACATTCTGTGCTCATGGGTTGGAAGAATAAATATTGTCAAAATGTCAATACTACCCAAAGCTATCTACACATTCAATGCAATCCCAATCAAAATTGCACCAGCATTCTTCTCGAAGCTAGAACAAGCAATCCTAAAATTCATATGGAACCACAAAAGGCCCTGAATAGCCAAATTAATTTTGAAGAAGAAGACCAAAGCAGGAGGCATCACAATCCCAGACTTCAGCCTCTACTACAAAGCTGTCATCATCAAGACCGCATGGTATTGGCACAAAAACAGACACATAGACCAATGGAATAGAATAGAAACCCCAGAACTAGACCCACAAACGTATGGCCAACCAATCTTTGACAAAGCAGGAAAGAATATCCAATGGAAAAAAGACAGTCTCTTTAACAAATGGTGCTGGGAGAACTGGACAGCAACATGCAGAAGGTTGGAACTAGACCACTTTCTCACACCATTCACAAAAATAAACTCAAAATGGATAAAGGACCTGAATGTGAGACAGGAAACCATCAAAACCCTCTAGGAGAAAGCAGGAAAAGACCTCTCTGACCTCAGCCGTAGCAATTTCTTACTTGACACATCCCCAAAGGCAAGGGAATCAAAAGCAAAAATGAACTATTGGGACCTCATGAAGATAAAAAGCTTCTGCACAGCAAAGGAAACAATCAACAAAACTAAAAGGCAACCAACGGAATGGGAAAAGATATTTGCAAATGACATATCGGACAAAGGGCTAGTATCCAAAATCTATAAAGAGCTCACCAAACTCCACACCCGAAAAGCAAATAATCCAGTGAAGAAATGGGCAGAAAACATGAATAGACACTTCTCTAAAGAAGACATCTGGATGGCCAACAGGCACATTAAAAGATGCTCAATGTCGCTCCTCATCAGGGAAATACAAATCAAAACCACACTCAGGTATCACCTCACGCCAGTCGGAGTGGCCAAAATGAGCAAATCAGGAAACTATAGATGCAGGAGAGGATGTGGAGAAACAGGAATGCTCTTGCACTGTTGGTGGGGATGCAAACTGGTGCAGCCACTCTGGAAAACAGTGTGGAGGTTCCTCAAAACATTAAAAATAGACCTACCCTATGACCCAGCAGTAGCACTGCTAGGAATTTACCCAAGGGATACAGGAGTACTAATGCATAGGGGCACTTGTACCCCAATGTTTATAGCAGCACTCTCAACAATAGCCAAATTATGGAAAGAGCCTAAATGTCCATCAACTGATGAATGGATAAAGAAATTGTGGTTTATATACACAATGGAGTACTACGTGGCAATGAGAAAGGATGAAATATGGCCCTTTGTAGCAACATGGATGGAACTGGAGAGTGTCATGCTAAGTGAAATAAGCCATACAGAGAAAGACAGATACCGTATGTTTTCACTCTTATGTGGATCCTGAGAAACTTAACAGAAACCCATGGGGGAGGGAAGGAAAAAAAAAAAAAAAAGAGGTTAGAGTGGGAGAGAGCCAAAGCATAAGAGACTCTTAAAAACTGAGAACAAACTGAGGGTTGGTGGGTGTGGGAGGGAGGGGAGGGTGGGTGATGGGTATTGAAGAGGGCATCTTTTGGGATGAGCACTGGGTGTTGTATGGAAACCAATTTTACAATAAATTTCATAAAAATAAAATAAAATAAAGTATCTTAAAAGATTAATAATAATAATAATAAAATAAAATATACTGCTTGGCTTTAAAACATTCCAGGAAAAAATATTTGGAAGATTAACAAGAAAGGTAAAATAGAAGTGATTATTAAAAATATGTGATGCAATAAATTTCATATATAAATAAAAAAAAAAACAAATGTATATACAAAAAAAAAAATGTGATGCTCGGTGTCTGGATGGCTCAGTCGGTTAAGCGTGTGACTCTTGATTTCAGCTCAGGTCATGATCTCACTGTGAGATTGAGCCCTGTGTTGGACTCTATTGCTAAGTGTGGAGCCTACTTGGGATTCTCTCTCTCTCTCTCTCTCTCTCTCTCTCTCTCTCCCTCTGCCCCTCCCTGCTCGCTCACTCTCTCTCTCTCTCTCAAAATAAATATTGAAAAATGCAATGTTGTATGTTATCTATACTTGAATTAAAAAATAAAAATAAAAACGTGATGGGTACATGTCTGTTCATTTTACTATTCTATTTTTGTTACGTTTGGTATGTTCTACAATAAAAAGTTAAAATAAAACAAGTTACAGATGAGTGGGTAGCTATCTCATTAAAACATACTTTTGTTAGACTCAAATGTGGACCATATTTGAGAATAGAAGGAAACATGACAAGATGAAAACCAAAGTTTTAACAGTAGATGGATGAGCAATAGTGAATGTGATTCTTTTTAATTTACACTGTAACTTTGGTATGGGGTAAACTTTGTTACATAACTTTGTAAGAGGAATGTAGTGACCTTTGAAAAGAATTGTATGCATGTAGGGAAAATAAAGCTTAAATTGAACAGGTATGATGGTATCAGTACACCTCAAAGTAGCAACTAAGGCAGTATAGCAACCACAACCTGTTTGTCTTTATGAATTCTTTGATTAGTGTACATTCCTATCCCCTCACCATTACCTCAATAGGGAAACTCTTAGTTTCAAAATGATTTATGAAATAAAGTACTGAGATAATATTCATTCAAGTTTCATATTAAACCATCTTTTTTAAAAAGTTTTTTATTTATTTTGAGAGAGACAGAGATAGCGCAAGTTGGGGAGGGACAGGGAGAAAGGGAGACAAAGAATCCCAAGCAGCCTCCCCGTGTGGGACGTGGGGCTCAAACTCCTGAAACTGGGAGATCACCTGAGCCAATACCAAGAGTCTGATGCTTAACTGCCTGGGCCACCCAGGCTCAACAGTCTTATAACAACAGCATCAAGAATAAAAATCTAATTAAATCAATCTAGATGATGAGAGAATAGGGAAGGGGTTGTGAAAACTTGAGCTAGAGGGACTCTTCTTGTATAGTGTACTGATTAATTTTAGAACACAAAAGTAACTGCACCACCCACTAAATTTCACTAACTTCCATAATGCCTTAAATTTTCTCTTATAATTTTTCTTTTTGGTCAGCAATGGATTTCTCAAAGTGTGTTCATAACCCAAAGATAGTAAATATTATGGAGGGGAAAGAATTCATGGTCAGGACTGGGAAACTGTGTTGAATAATGGTAATATTTTCTTTATTGCAGGTCTTCTTACAACCTTTTAATTCGGCTTGCTCAAAGTGTAATTCATTGGCAATAAGGGAATTTGGTTATGTACCACAATATGCAATGAGACAGAGTCCTCTCCTCCAATGGTATTTTGGAGATTATTATCTCTTCAACATATTTTGGAGAGTCTGGTTCAGAGTATTTTCTAATAGGCAAATATGTTATATGCCAAATATATGTCAATGAATTATGATCAATGTAGCAAATAATATTTTAGGGGCGCCTGGCTGGCTCAGTCAGTTAAGCGTCCAGCTTCAGCTCAGGTCATGATCTCACAGTTCGTGAGCTTGAGCCCTGCATCAGGCTCTGTGCTGACAGCTTAGTGCCTGGAGCCTGCTTCGGATTCTGTGTCTCCCTCTCTCTCTGCTCCTCACCAGTTGCACTCTGTCTCTCCCTCTCTCAAAAACAAATAATAAACATTTTAAAAAAATTTTTTAAAAGATGAATTTAAATTACATTTGGGAAAACTGATCAGGACACTTGAAAGGGCCAGAAGCATCATTTACCCCACTTAAAACAATGGAAGTAGGCTCTGAAATGTGGGCATCTGAAAATTTACTCTTCAACATATTATCAGATACAGATAATGAGAAAAGCTGTAGTTAGTAAATTTTGTTTTGATTTCTCATTTAAGACAGTAATAATTTACATAGTTTTATTTTAATGGAGCCACTTGGCTATAATTTTCTTGATAAAAAATTATCTTTCCCTTAAAGAAGTAATTAGAAAATGTAGTAAAATGACTTCTGCTTCTGGAATTTGCTGTAGAAAAATGACCTCCCCTTGATTTTATAAAAAATCTCTACAACTCTAAAGGAATTTCTTCCATAGTTTTTTTGCAGTATGAATTATCTGGTGCAGCAAAATTTATGAGCTCTAAAATGGAGGCCTTTCTGCCTTTATGATGTCCTAAAGCTTCTGTCACAGAATAAATTATCTGGTGTTCAAAAAAGGATAGATGGTAAAACCAGACCAAACCCAAACAAGAAACAGAAAGGGATAGATGGTAATAGAATGCTTATATCTTACTGTATTCTAAAATATTCCTACCCTTTGACTTCTCTAATAGCATATAATAATGATAATACCAGTGATAATAATAGATACTGAGTATCAGATGCTGTCCAAAGGGAGTTACATGTGTTTAATCATCTATAATTCAATCCATGTAATATCATTACATTATTTTACACAAAGAAGCTGAGGCACAGAGAGGTTAAGTAACTTTTCAAATTTCACAGGAAATGGTGAAATAGAGATGGTACTCAATAAAGGATATATTTCAGATTACATTCCAAGGCTATAGAGATTGTTAAAATTGTTTAATAGGGGGTGCCTGGGTGGCTTAGTTGGTTAAGTGTCTGACTCTTGATCTCAGCTAAGGTCTTGATCTCAGGGTCGTGAGTTCAAGCCCTAAGTTGGACTCTGTGCTGGGCATGAAGCCTACTTTAAAAATAAAAAATAAAAAAATGAAAATGAAAATAAATGTTTACTGTGTTTCAGAAGTTATTTCTGCATTCATTAATATAGGCTTTCTAAAAATGAGTTCATTATGAGCACAAGTCAAAGGATGTCCTACATTCATTACGAACATAATATGGGTTCTCTAATATTCCAGAGGTGTTGAATACAGTTGAAGCCTTTCTTATATTAAATCATATTCAAAGCTTTTTCAATTATGAAGCCTCATATGTTGAGTAAGTTGTGAATGACGTCTAAAGTCTTTACCACATTGGACACATGCATAAGGTTTCTCACCAGTATGGATCCTTTGATGTAGAGTAAGTTCTGAGCCACGACTAAAGGCCTTCCCACATTCCTTACATTCATAGGGTTTCTCACCAGAATGAGTTCTTAGATGTTCAGTAAGATGTGAACCACGAATAAAGGCCTTCCCACACTGCTTACATTCATAGGGTTTTTCACCTCTATGAATTCTCTGGTGCTCACTAAGTTGTGAGCCATAAATAAAAGCCTTGTCACATTCCTTACATTTGTAGGGTTTCTCACCTGTATGAATTCTCTGGTGATATGTAAGTTGTGTGGCACGAAAAAAGGTCTTCCCACATTCCTTACATTCATAATGTTTCTCACCATGAATTTTCTCATGTTGAGTAAGATATGCACCACGAATAAAAGCCTTTCCACACTCCTTACATTCAAAGGGTTTCTCACCTGTATGAATTCTCTGATGTTCACTAAGCTGTTTGCCACAAATGAAGGCCTTCTCACATTCTTTACATTTGTAGGGTTTTTCACCTGTATGAATTCTCTGATGTTGAGTAAGATTAGAATTAGAAATAAAGGCTTTTCCACATTCTTTACATTTATAGGGTCTCTCACCTGTATGAACTCTCAAATGGTAAGTAAGTTGTGAGCCACGAAAAAAGGCCTTCCCACATTCTTTACATTCATAGGGTTTCTCACCTGTATGGATTCGCTGATGTTCATTAAGTTGGGAGGCACATAAAAAGGCCTTCCCACATTCTTTACATCTGTAAGGCTTTTCACCAGTATGAACTCTTTGATGATAAGTAAGGTGTGAACCAAGAATAAAGGCCTTTCCACATTCCTTACACTCATAGGGTTTCTCACCACTATGAATTCTCTGATGGTAAGTAAGTTGAGAGCCAAGAATAAAGGACTTCCCACATTCCTTGCATTCATAGGGTTTTTCACCACTGTGAATTCTCTGATGGAGAGTATATTGTGAACAATAACTAAAGGCTTTTCCACATTTCTTACATTCATATGGTTTCTCTCCTGTATGAACTCTCTGATGTTCAGTGAGCTGTGAACCACGAATAAAAGCTTTCCCACATGCCTTACACTGATAAGGTTTTTCATTAGTATGAATTTTCTGATGTTGAATCAGATCAGAACTACGACCAAAGGCCTTCCCACATTCCATACACTCATAAGGCTTTTCACCATTCTGAATCCTCTGATGTTGAATATATGTTGGCTTTTTGCTGAAGGTCTTTCTACGTTTCTTAACTTCAGAGTGTTTTTCTTTATTATGGCTTTTCTCATGTTGAGTAAGGCATGACAGGTAGCTGAAAGCTTGTTCATATTCCTTACATTTGTACAATTTTTCCCTGGTAGGATTTAGCGGATGAAGAGTAGGTGACACAGAATGGCTTTGGGTGGCCTTTTCTCCATAGGTAATTTTCATGTGCATGTAAAGTCCTTCCTGACTTCCCTGTTGATCCTCAAATTTGCCTTTGCCCTCCATATTATCTCTAAGACCATTGTAATCAAAATTATGGCTGATAGGTTTCCTCCTATTTTCCCATTGCAGTGATTCCATTTCATAAGCTCCCTTTTCTGGAGATGACTTTTTGGTCTCACAACTGGATTCCAAGTCTGTAAGATAACAAGAGAGCAAATTCCTTCTTTTTTTTTTTTTTTTTTTTTTTTTAACAAGGGGAAATGAAACTTCTAAAATAAAAATGATAGGTAAAATAAAAATTCTGATAAGAACAAATGGCTTAAACAGTGCTGAAATATTTTGTGCAATTAAAACAAAAGGCACAAGGAGAAAACATAGAATGAGGGGAGTTTATAGGGAATAAAGTAATTAGGAAAACAGTTTAAGTGTGTGGTTCTCAAACTTTGGAGTAGATTAGAATCCAACCAAAGAAACTTGTAAAATAACAAAAACACTCCCCTATAAACATTCAATCAAATGTCTAGTTAGATATCCAATCTACCAACAAGACCTACTACCTGTCCTATTAAAAGTTTATCAAGGGACGCCTGGGTGGCTCAGTTGGTTAAGTGTCTGATGTTGGCTCAGGTCATGATCTCACCTGGCTTTGAGCCCCACATTGGGCTCAGGGCTGACAGCTCAGGGCCTGGATCCTGCTTCAGATTCTGTGTCTCCCCCTCTCTGTGCCCCTCCCCTGCTCACACTCTGTCTCTCTCTCTCTCAAAAATAAATAAACATCAAAATTTTTTTATCAAGTACGACCACATCCACTACTATCACTCTAGGCCAAGCCACTTGCAATTGTCCCTGCAATCTGTTCTTCACACAGCAGCCAGAGGAATTCATTTACAATGTAATTCATATCAACTTATTCCCATATAAAAATCTTCTGAGTTTACCATCTTAGAATAATATCCTAAGTTCTTACTTATTATGGCTCACAAGACCTTACTATGGTCCACAGACTCTACATGAGTTTGCCCTTGGCCACTTTTCTGATGTCATCTCTTACCACTCCTAATTATTCATTTTGTTCTCACCACAATGGCTTCCTTGCTGTTCAAAAATACCAAGTGTATACCTCCGTGTTTACCTTTTGGAATGCTCTTTTCCCAGATACCTGCATGGTTTGCTCTCTCATTTCAGTTTTCCATTCAAATGACACATTATCAAAACACCCAATATAGAAATGCACCTATATTGCATTTATCACTAATGGATATACTAGTTTTAAAGTTTGTGCCTTGTCTGTCTGCCCATGCTTAATCAAAGCAATGACTTTGTTTCATTCTCTGCTTTATTTCTAGTACCTAGAGCCATTACTGGACACTCAGTATTTGTCAGCAACTTTAAAAATACAAATTTTCTTTCATTTTTCATTTCCCCAGATGCTTCTGATATAAAAAAAAAAAAATTGAGAATACTGCTTAAAACCTTTCAATGGTTTACCCCTTTGTACTTCAAATAAAATCCAAATTTCTGTTCAAAGCCTAAAAGCCCCTGCATGATCCATTTCTTGATTACTTTTTTCACCTCATTTTGAACCACCACTATCTCCAGGAACAATGCTCTAGCCTTACTGGCTTTATTGAAGTTTTTGGAACGTATCAAATCCTTTCCCATTTCACACTCTCACATGCTGTTCTATCTGCCAGGAATGCTCTCTGCATGGCCAGTTCCTTTTTGTCTGAAATGTCCTAACTAAAATGGCAGCTGCTCAGAAAGACTATCCCTGAAAACTCGAATTGGGTTCATGCTTTATCTTATTCTTTCATTTATCTGATTGTCTATACTTGTCATATAACTTTAATATGTAGAAGAACACTATCTAATGTGACTGGAACAGCAGCCACCATCTCTGACAACAATGCACATAAGCTGTAGAGTGTAATAGAGGATGGTGTTGAGAAAGGAAATAAACATAAATCAATAAATTGAAGATTGAACAGTCTTTAGAAATGAGTCAGAAATCCAAGGAAAACATGCTTTTGTTGAAAAGCAGAAAGAAATTGTAAACAACAACAAAAACAAAAAACCCCACATAGCTCAGTTTAACATCAACTCATGTCAGCAAAATGTACTGGGATGAGAGTACCTGGCTTTTTACTTTGTCAGAGAAGCACAATATCATTTATAAAACATTAGGTAAGAACCCAACTGGAATATGGTGATCAAGAGAACAGTGTAAGGAACCAAATGAATCCAGTTTAGGTCCCAAACTGCTCTCCATGTCACATATAGTAACATGATTAAATAGTTCTTTTTTGATGTTTGTTTATTTTTGAGAGAGAGAGACAGAGCACGAGCAGGGGAGGGGCAGAGAGAGAGGGAGAGACAGAATCTGTAACAGGCTCCAGGCTCTGAACTGTCAGCACAGAACCTGACATGGGGCTTGAACTCACGAATTGAAAGATCATGACCTGAGCCAAAGTTGGACGCTTAACCGACTGAGCCACCTGGGTGTCTCTAAACAGTTCTTTTTATTGTCGTTAAATTAATGGAAGAAAAAAATGAGAAAATACAAAAGGGGTGATGGCTGAAAATGACAAAATGGCGTCTGAAAAGCAGAAGTCATTTCGGGAGACCTCTTTCATACTTGCCCTCCTCAACAACTCTGGTTGAATTGATCCTCTAAATCTCTCTTGAATCTGTTTCCTTATCCCCAATGCCATTACCAACACTCAGAAAGCCCAGAGAGCACCACACATTTGAAGCAAAACAATAATCCCCTCAGTCGTGTCCTGAGATCCTTTCTTCTAATCTCCATCTGGTAGTCAAGAGTAATATATTAAATATGTAAATCACATTATGTCACTGTCCTACTTAAGATTCTTCATTAGCTTGCAAATGTTTTGGGGACAAAATTCAATGAGAGATAAGAAATACATGTTATTTTATGGTCAAATACACACCCACAACATAAAACAAACAAGTCATGAAATAATCTTTAGCTCTGCTACATGTGATGCATTCTGATATTTTTAAAAAATTTCTGCTCTATGTTATTGTATTTAAGAATCAAAACAAAACTGAAATAATCTTTACCTCTGCTACATGTGATGCATTCTGATATTTTTAAAAAATTTCTGCTCTATGTTATTGTATTTAAGAATCAAAACAAAACTGGGGCGCCTGTGTGGCTCATTCAGTTGCACATCCAACTTTGGTTCAGGTCATGATCTCGATGTTCGTGAGTTTGAGCCCTGCTTTGGGCTCTGTGCTGACAGCTCAGAGCCTGGAGCCTGTTTCAGATTGTGTCTCCCTCTCTCTCTGCCCTTTCCCACTCACACTCTGTTTCTCTCTCTCTCTCTCTCAAAAATAAATATTCTTTAAAAAAAGAAAAAGAAACAAAACAAAACCAAAACAAAACAAAAACAAAAACAAAAACAAATGCTGTTCACAACCTATCAGGTCATTTTTATAATCCCTAAGGTTCTGCCTGGCCTAGACCCTGGCAGACTCCAAACTCACACCTGGCACCCTTCCCTCACTAGGCTCCAACTATAAGGGCCTTCTTTGAATACCTCCTATTACACCAAGCTGCATTGCTCTATGGCCTTCAGGACACCATTTCCTCTGCCAAGAATGTTTTTCTCTCTACCCTCGGCCTCCCTACTGCTTTACATCCTTTCAGGGCTCATCCTTTCACATACCTTTGCTTTTCCTCAAAAGTCCTTCCCAATCTCAGACTCCAGCAATGCTGCACCTGCAATTCGCTCTTATAGTAAGACAGCCACAGCTCATGAGCTCATGATAGTGAAACTGAGCCCCACATTGGGCTCTGCACTGAGCATGGAACCTGCTTGGGATTCTATCTCTCTCCTCCTTTCTCTGCTTCTCCTACCTTCCCTCCCCCCCCCCCCCCCCGCCCACCTCTCCACACTCTCTTGCTCTCTCAAATAAATAAATAAATAAATAAATAAACAAACAAACTAACTAAACTAAACATAAACATAAAAAAAAAAGACAGCTACTCTACCCACTGCAGCCTACAAGGGAGGCCCCCCATAGCTTTGGATGCTGGTAAGACTGCCACATCCTGCTCTTAATGCTGGATTCTCCTAGGAGGTCTTGACTTCCATAAACTCTCAATGTGACAGTCCCGCTACCTTTAGTTTATGACAGGAATAAGTACTCACCCTCCCCAAAGAAACTACTCCAAGACCTATCCTGTAATGCTTGGCATCTCTGGGTATCCCAATACTCCTGAAAAGCCCTGGCTTTCTGTATCCTTGTTCATCACTAGGCCTCTCATCCCATTCCAGGTCTAGACATCTTTTATTGTGACTCAGTGTTCTATTACTCTCTGACCACTAGGGCTCCAGGAACTCACTATATACTTTCTGCAAATACTCCACAACCTCAGCCTCCTTCCCTCTATGTATTTTCTTCACCTCTTGCTCTGATTGCAACGTTGAGCACCCTGCTTCCCAGAAGCACTGTTTTCCTCCACCTCATTCCACCTACCGTCCCCTGAAGTAGATATAACAGACCTTGTTATTTCTAATTAGGACAGTACCACCCAAAACTCAATTTCAAGTAACCATCCTTACTGACCACTACCACCCATATTTCCAGATCACTTACTCTCGTACCATCTCTCCAATATTTATCTCCACCTTAAAGACTCTCCTTCAAAATCAAAACAAAACAACTCCTTTGATTCTATGGTTCACCCTGTAGCTCCTATCCATTTACTGTACTCCTTCCTGGTAAAACTTCTCAAAAGAGATGTCTGTATTTCCTGTCAATACTTTTTCCCCCTTTGTCTCCCACCCTTATAACTAACATTTTTCCCATATTTGCTTCCAGGATTTTTTTTTCTTGCACTTTTATACTGTTGAAATAATTCTACATATATAAACTTAAGCCATACTTCTTTGTCCTAATTATTAGGGCACTATTATAAAAAACTTCTAATACATTTTAAAACTCTATTTGTACTTTTGAGAATTCCTCAAATGGGTCCTCAACACTGCCTGGTGAGTTAAGTCATTACCCCACAACAGTTTTTATTGTTGGCTTATTTCTTCCCTAGTCTCTCATCTCGCCCCATCACCCAGAGATTTACCTTATATTTATCCCTCAGTCCTGACTACCATCTTGCAGGCTTTCAAATGCTTATCTAACTTCTCTGTCAAGAATATCTAATGGCCATCTCCAATGCATAACTCTTGACTTCCTTCTGCAGGCTTCCAAACTCTGATGCTTCTTTCTATTTCCAATCCTTCAGCAAATCCTATTAATTGTACCATCAGATATAACCCATTCTCATTTTCTTCACATATTAGACCCCATTCCAAGACACTATCATCTCTAAAGTGGACTCCTGAAACTAGTGTCCTCTAACTGGCCTTCTTGCTTTCATTCTTAACCTCATTCTACATAAGCACCCATAGTGATGTGTAAACAAAGATCCCTTACTCATCTGCACAAAACCCTTCAATAGCTCCTTATACTTAGAATAAAATCACATTCCTTGCAATGGCCTACATGGTCTTATGTGATCTGTTCTCTGCCTATTTCTCTGACCTCATCACTAATTTCCACTTTCACTCTCCTTGTTCTAGCCATGCTGACTTTGTTCTAGCCACGCAGCCAGAAGGCTGATCCTCAAATAAGTGAAGTTCAGCATCTCCTCAGGGCCTCTACACTTCTGTCCCATGTGACTGAACACACACTTCCCTTTTTTTGCATGGCTAATTTCATTCAGGCCTCAGTTCAAAATTACTTCCTCTGGGAGATCATCCCTGATTATCCTAATCTAAGAACACAGCAAGCTCTCCATAAACATTTGCTGGCTAGAGACACCAACTCAATTAAAAATAAATAAAAGGATTATCTTTGGAAGAAATGAAAAGTAACTTCCTCATTAAAACAAAAGGGGAATATGAGAGAAGAAGTATGGTAAATGGGAGTTGGAAAGGAAGTTCCTTTGGCAACTCATATTGATATCACCTTCCTGCTGAGACCTTAGGCTTCTTTCCACAGGCCTTTGAAGAGAGCTTCATGCAAACATCTCCAAGTGTTGCCACCTCACAGACCAGCTGTATTATTATGAGCAATAGCTGCTCCTATGTGACTTGCTCTTTATTCACCTGAGCTCCATCTTCTTGTCATGGCTCTTGTCACCATCCAGGGGTCCTTCCCTTGCTCCAATAAAGAAAACACATCTGGTTTAGGGATCGCACATCCAGCTTAAAAGAAAAGAAATGGGATATGGTCATGGTATAAGAGTCCCAGATTCAAATCCAGTCCACTGGTCATCAAAGACACTGAAGGAAGTGACAGAGGAATATGTGAAGGTCTGAAGGATGAGAAATAAGAAGGTACACAGTGGAGGGGCTCCTGGGTGGCTCAATCGGTTGAGCGTCCAACTTCAGCTCAGGTCATGATCTCGCAGTTTGTGAGTTTGAGCCCCGTGTGGGACTCTCTGCGGACAGCTCAGACCCTAGTACCTGCTTTGGATTCTGTGTCTCTCACTCTCTCTCTGCCCCTCCCCCGCTCACACTCAGTCTCTCTCAAAAATAAATAAACATTAAAAACAATTATATAATGAGCATTGGGTGTTGTATGGAAACGAATTTGACAATAAATTTCATATATTGAAAAAAAATTATATAAAACAAAAGAAGGTACACAGTGGAGCTGTCTACTTCTGTTAGCTAGAATGAAAGGGGAAGTTATTCCAATAAGAGGGCCTAAAGCTATCAGCAGAAGGGAGGAGGGGAAAAGACAAAAGCAGAATCAATAATTGTTTTGCAGAATTGTTTTCCAGAATCAATATTTCCAGCCAAGGAGACACCTAAATAGGTGTTTCACCTGACAGTTCCTTGCTAAGTATGTCTAGCCCATTAGCTCCTTATGTGAGCTAGTCTGAGCCAGAATAGAGCTGAGGACCTGCACAGAAGCCCCCCTGAGCTGACCTGAAGTTACCTTAGCTCATTATAATAATAAGATGTCCTCTAGGGTGCCTGGGTGGCTCAGTCAGTTAAGCATCTGTCTTGATTTCAGCTAAGGTCATGATCTTGCAGTCGTGAGATCAAGTTCCATGTCAGGCTCCATGCTGATCATGCAGCCTGCTTGGGAGTCTCTCTCTCCCTCTCTCACTGTCCCTCTCTCCTCCTCAAAATAAATAAATAAACATTAAAAAAAAAAATAAGATCTCTTATCATGGGTAGAGTTTTCCACCATTTTTTGAACATATGATGTACATACTGGCATGTTGACATGCTGGACATGCTAATTGAACCAAAAGTGCTTACTTACACAAACTCCCTGCCCCCACCCTGATACACTGCATAAAAATTTCCTGTAATAATCCCACAGGGAGACAGTGCATTCAGACCAATCTCCCTGTCTCTGTAGCAAGTAATACAAAGTTCTTTGCTTTCAACATTTCCTTGGCTTGTGTGCAATTTAGTGCACCTTGAGTTCGGTTACATTTCTACCTCCAAAACACTCAAACCTTTCTGTACAAGATGATCTTACCTAGTGAGATCAGGTTGCTGTAGTTCTCCAACATCACATCCCTGTACAAATCCCTCTGAGTGGAGTTAAGGCATTCCCACTCCTCCAGAGAGAAGTCGATGGCCACATCCCTGAAAGTCACCAACCACTGAAACAACAAATCCATTTATTGTTAGTGAAAATATGGCAATGACTTCGAGGTAAAATGAGGAAAGAAAGAGGAGGGTGTGAAGGAAGGGGATGACAATAAATAGGCCATGGCTGAACACACTGTAACATTAAAAGAAATTAGGTGCCTGAACAAAGACAAAACTTCCAATGTATAGTAAGACAATTCTAGTATCCAGAAAAGTCCAGGAATACAAAAGGCCAGATGAATGCAGTTCTCCAATTAAATGAAATATTATATGTAATCATACAGTATATTAAGCTTTTCAGATTCTCAAAAAATAATAAATTCTCAACAAATATGAGTTCTTTCCTTTTCTTCTCCCCTTAAAGAAAAATATAAACAAATTTAACGAAATATTTCCAAACAATTTTTAACAAATCTCTAGGCTAAAACATAGAATTTGGATATAACTTAAGAATTTTTTGAAGATTAAGGCACCTGGGTGGTTCAGTCAGTTAAGCATCTGACTCTTGATTTTGGCTCAGGTTATGCTCTCACAGTTCGTGAGATTTAATCCTGAGTCGGGCTCTGTGCAGAGCCTGCTTGGAATTCTCTCTCTCCCTCTGTCTCTGTCCCTCCGTGGCTTGTGCATACATACACACTCTCTCTCTCAAAATAAATAAATATTTTTTAAAAAAGAATGTTTTGAAGATTTGAATTCTTCAAGTCACAATATTATGATGTTTCCATTTTATGTATGAAATGATCTGCTTATTTGGGAGTATTTCATTTAATTCTCCAACATCTTTGAGCTCTAAGAATCTACAGTTCTCAAGAGAGTAGGCATTTGGCAGGTTTTATTTCTACTTTCTGTGTTCCTAGGCTACAGCTAGCTTATGGATGCCAATCTAGGTGCCTCAGGTATCACTTACACATTCTGGCCAACTCCAAGGTAAACCTGACTGCTGGTCATCCTCTCATTGGTTCCTGAGTAAGAGGACTGTGGTACATAGAATAACACCCTCCCCAAGATGTCCACATCTGAATCTCTGGAACCTGTGAGTATGTAACCTTATAATGCAAATGGAACTTTGTAGATGTGATTAAGGATCTTTAAAAGGGAAGATTATCCTGGATTATCTGCTTGGAACCAATGTAATCTTAAGAGTGTTTTAAATGGTAGAGGGAGGGGCGCCTGGGTGGCTCAGTAGGTTGAGCGTCAGACTTCGGCTCAGGGCATGATCTCACGGTCTGTGGGTTCGAGCCCCATGTCGGGCTCTGTGCTGACAGCTCAGAGCCTGGAGCCTGCTTCTGATTCTGTGTCTCCCTCTCTCTCTGCCCCTCCTCCACTCATGCTCTGTCTCAGAAATAAATAAACATTAAATGGTAGAGGGAGGCCGAGAAGGAGATGTGATAATGAAAGCAGAGGTCAGAATGATGACTGCTGGCTGTAAAAATGGAAGGGAGCCACAAGCCAAGGAACGTGGCAGCCTCTAGCAGCTGGAAAAATGCAAGGAAATAGATTCGCCTCCAGAAGAACACAGACCTACCAACACCTTAAATTTAGCCTGTAAAACTAATTTCAGACACTGACCTCCAGAAATATAAGATAATAAACTTATGTTGTTTTAAGTCACTGAGTTTATAGTAATTTGTCATGGCATCAACAGGAAACTGCAAGAGGCAAGATCTCTTCCTTCTCAGGACTCAGTTCCTCACCCAATCTTAAAAGCCTTGCAGAAAATCTTATCATACACTGAGACTTGGAACACCCAGCAGAAATGCTGTCACTTCCAAGTGGGAAACCCAGGTCTATAGAGAAGATCAGTTTGCCATATGTCCCATGTAACTACCTCACCAAACCATTATACTAATACTGCTCTTAAGGGGAGTATTAGTATTAGGAATACTGCTCTTAATACTGCTTCCTTAGGACTCCTGGCAGAAGACTTTGCATGTAAAATATGTAGAATGATCTGAAAAAATACTTAAACACTCTCTGGTGAGGGGAAAAGCATTTAGAGAAGAATGGAGCTCTTTGCTAGGATTAGCCACTGGAATGGGAGAAATTTGGGAGTGGTTCCTTCAGGCAGCTAACCAAGGCAGAAAATTTGGGGATAAATAAATCTGGTGTTCACATCACACAACACATCACTTCAAGAAGGAAAAATGAGGGGCCCCTGGCTGGCTCAGTCGGTAGAGCATGCAATTCAATCTCGGGGTTGTGAGTTTGAGCCTCACATTTGGTGCAGAGATTACGAAAAAATTTTTAAAAAAATCTAAAAAAAAAAAAAAGGAAAAATGAAATAGTAACTCACATGGGGCATGTTTTCTAGAACTATCAGGACTGATTGGTTTTCTGGGTTCTTTTCCTGGAGATGTGCAGAGTTCAGAGAACGCCGGGCTGGAGAGAGAAACAGAAGCCATGAGATAAACCGTGCCTCAGAGCCCACAAAATAAGCACCTTGACACTAACTTTATTTCACCTCTTTTTTTTTTTTTTTATTTTTAATGTTTATTTATTTTTAAGAGAGAGAGAGAGAGAGTGAGCCTGCCTGAAACAGGCTCCAGGCTCTGAACTGTCAGCACAGAGCCCGACGTGGGGCTCAAACCCAGGAGCTGCAAGATAACGACCTGCACTGAAGTCAGATACTTAACCAACTAAGCCACTCAGCCACCCCTATTTTACCTCTTTGAGGGAGATTGGAAAAATCTTAGCTTTCCTGCAAATCCAATGGAATACAGGTACAGCAGAAAGAATTCAGGCCAAGCTTCTCCTGAATCCCCCTGATGCTGAATAGGACCTCACAGGGTACTAGTTTTCCAGGGCATCTCACATCTTTAGGATAGGGGCATACCTAGGGAGCCCTGAGATCAGCTTCCCCAGATACCTCCCCTCCCCCCCCCCTCCCCCCCGCATGTACACACACAGTGAGACGCTTTGCTCCCACAGTTTAAGGGCTCAATCCTACAAGACTGCTCCTGATTCCAGAAGTCAGTCTGAAATCCCTGGCCACCAGTACTTCTGATCACTCAGCTATAAATTGGGGGCTCCCACAGTCCCCTCCTAGGTTTGATACTTTGCTAGGATGGCTCACAGAACTTAGGAAGCCACAAAAAGGATGAAGTATCTAGGCCTAAGGTTGACAAGAAATGCATAAAACCTGTAGGAAGAAAAACTTGAAATACTTCCTGAAAGACATAAAAATAGATTTGTGCAAATGGCTAAAACAGTATTTCCCAACATTGTTTTCTATCATTGCCCCTCTGAGGAGCCATTTTAGACATTTTTTCCTAGTTGTCCCCCTCCAGCATGAAATTTTAATAGGTCAGATACACTGTAATATATGTATTTATGTAAGTATATATAAGTTATATATAAGTTTATATAAATATATATAAGTTTATATAATATAGAGGAGCCTGGGTGGCTCAGTTGGTTAAGCATCCAACTTCAGTTCAGGTCACAATCTCAGTTTGTGAGAGTTTGAGCTCAGTTTGAGCTCCACATTGGGTTCTGTGCTGACAGCTCCAAGCCTGGAGCTTGCTTCAGATTCTGTGTCTTCTGCTCTCTCTGCTCCTTACCTGCTTGTGCTCTGTCTCTCACTCTCTCTCCAAAAATAAAAAAACATTTAAAAAATAAAAAAAAAAGTATATAATATAAACAATGTAATTAAAATTGTAATATATCATTCAAAACCATTCTTTTCCAACAAAAGGTAAAACAATTGAAAAATTAATTTCTTTTTTTTTTTTAATTTTTTTTTCAACGTTTATTTATTTTTGGGACAGAGAGAGACATAGCATGAACGGGGGAGGGGCAGAGAGAGAGGGAGACACAGAATCGGAAACAGGCTCCAGGCTCTGAGCCATCAGCCCAGAGCCTGACGCGGGACTCGAACTCACGGACCGCGAGATCGTGACCTGGCTGAAGTCGGACGCTTAACCGACTGCGCCACCCAGGCGCCCCGAAAAATTAATTTCTTAAAAATTCTTTTTAGTGAACTTAACTTCTACTAGATAGAAGAAACTTTTAACTGGTCGCTTGATCTTCATTCACATAGTCAACGTTTTAACTTCTCAGCCCTTGACATAATTGGTGGGTTTCACAATGTTAAACTTTATCCAAGAACTATGATCCTGAAAAATAGCCATAGCCACAATGAGAGATACCCCCTCATCCTTTATACACTAGGAAACAGCTGAATGAAATGAACCTCCCTTCCCTCTATGACTTAGATAAGACTGGAGGATGACCCTTCCCCCCTTTTTTAACCTATGAGAAGGCCAGGCAGAACCTCCAAATGGCCATTCTTTGTCTCATAAATGACTAGCTGAGCTGTTTGACCCCACTCACTAATCTGGACAAAAATGCCCGATAACTTTACTTGACCAAACTTTAGTCAGGCTTCTCTCCTTCTCTCAGGCCTTTGAACTTTGGCCTACCCTGTATTCTGAGCCAGCAAAGGATGCAAACAACCCTCTTAACAATGATACAAGCTTCAGAGAACAAAATCTACACTTCTGACTCCCCACTTGTCCCAGTTCTTTCTGGCTTTATCTTCCTTATAAAAAAAAAATGCTTTTCTGCCTGACCTTTTAGATGCCTGCAGATCTTATGGTTGGAGTGTTCTCCCAATTACAAGTCTTCCTTCCCTCACTGCAGTGATCCTTTAAATAAAGTCATTCCCAGGGGTGACTTCAGCTCAGGTCATGATCTCACAGCTCGTGGGTTCAAGCCCCACGTCCGGCTCTGTGCTAACAAGCTCAGAGTCTGGAGCCTGCTTCTGATTCTGTGTCTTTCTCTCTGACCCTCCTCCGCTTACACGGTCTCTGTCTCTCAAAAAATGAATAAATGTCAAAAAAATTTTTTTAAATAAATAAATAAATAAAGTCATTCGTTAGCTAAGTCCAAATTTGTCTTTTATGAGACATGGTGAATAACTTTTGTAGAATAAAACATTACTTTTATTTAATCCTCAAATCCCAAGTCAAATAAAAAAGCATGATCAAATACAAACAACATCCACAAGGGAGCCAATGGGCATACACAAGGAATTATTTCAGATTAAATAAGACTAAAGAGATGTGATAACTAAATGAAATATTTGATCCTAGATGTGATTCTGGAATGGATCCCAGATCAAGGGAAAAAAGGCTATAAAGGGCAGTACTGGGACAACTAGTGAAATTTTTCTATGAATTCTGAATTAAATAATTATTATATCTATGCTACATTTCCTGATTTTAATAACTGAATGATAGTGGTAGTCCTTGTACTTAGAAAAATACACTGATGTATTTTTATGGATAAAGGAACATGATATCTGAAAATTAATACCGACTGGTTCAGAAAAAAAGAACATATGTAGAAGGAAAGAGCAAATGAAAAGCTAATGTTAACAATTTAATCAAACTATAAGGGCATATGAGAATTCATTCTACTATTTTGGGGGTGTAATATTATATCAAAACAAAAATTTTTTGAATAAATGTTATGAGAACATTTATACTTGATTAAGATATTAAGAGACATAACCAAATGTAACACATGAACCTTAAATATAGGGAATATGATAACCAAAATAAATTTACAAACATTCCCTATTTTGATAGTTGTAATGTTGCTATTGTTGTTTTGACACCATTATAAGTACATTTTCAGGTAAAACAGACTAATTATATTAATGTTGTTAGCAACCAAGAATGTCAGTATAAAAGGAGAGACAAAGTTATAAAATCAAATAGAAAAAAACCTTGTTATCATTGGTCTAAATGGAAATATGATTATGAATTCATGATTGTGGTTTATACATTAAAAACAAGTTATTAGCTTTGTCCTCTGAAAAGCCTTAGAAGAAATGACAGCCCTATGACAATGAATATTCCTAATATCCAAACTGTAGTCTCTATATGCCATGATCCATAAGAGGAACCAGAACTCCTTAGAGAGATGGCTCATTTTGGATCTGGCACAGGAAATGTACAAGGTGAACTTGGGACAGCTTGTGCCAGAAAGTAAATAAGCTATCAATTCTTATATGATCATGTCAAAAGACATAGGAACTGACCAGAAGGGACTCCCACTGGCTAAAGAAAGAGCAGTTCAGGGTACCTGGGGGGCTCAGTCGGTTAAGTGTTGACTCTTGATTTCAGCTCAGGTCATAATCTCACAATTGGTGAGTTTGAACCCTGTGTCTGACTGCATGCTGACAGCACAGAACCGGCTTGGGATTCTCTCTCTCTCTCTCTCTCTCTCTCTCTCTCTCTCTCTCTCTCAAAATAAATAAATAAATTTTAAAAAGTAATAAATACATAGAGGGCAGTTTGAGATAAAAAGGAATAATGAGGGGTACCTGGGTGACTCAGTTGGTTAAGTGACTGACTCTTGATTTCAGCTCAGGTCCTCATCTCACAGTCATGAGATCAAGCCCTGCATTGAGCCCTGAGCCCTGATATTCTCTCTCTGCCCCACCAGCTCATGTGCACATGTGTCCTCTCTCTCTCTCTCTCTAAAAAAAAAAAAAAAAAAAAAAAAAAAA